GGTGAAAACCATTTAAGGAAAGGAATTGAATAAACATTTTGTGTAAAGCATGCAATTAATGGCAAATACATAAAGGTTATTTAAGGACAGGGTTTTGACAGTACACGGTTTGTGCAAATAAGGTAAGGGAGTCAATTAACAGCCAGTAAATTACAAGGTTTGAGATTTGGTATGAATGAACCAAGTCAGAAAAGATGAAGAATGGTTTTAACTTAGGCCGAGTAACAGGGAGAATCCGCAAACAATGGAAAGAAATCAATCAAGACATATTTAGAAGGAAGTTTGCACTAATTGCAAATTTGAAAACCATTTAGAGGAAAATTCATCATATAGAAGGAGCATATGAGCATGAAAGAAAACTGTCGTGTAAATCAGTAGAAAAATATCCAGTGTAGAAGAGTTTAGCAAAAAGGTCAGAATTATATGAAAACAAAGAAGTCCAAACTCGATTCAAAGACTTGAAGAGTTAGGGGTTCTAAAATAAAACCCTAGTTCAATCAAATATATGATCAAACCTGGCAGAACCCCCAAATTTTAGGTTTCCGCCTTGAATCAAGTACAGAGATGAGAAAACAAGTGGTCGAAGCAGGCTCAGAGGTTTCAGAGAAGAACTGAAACCTCTTACATGCTTCTATCAACAACAAAACTCATAAGAAAGCATGATATCAAGGTAACATGTAGAACATAGTAGAAGCACTTAAAGAAAAAATAGAGGAGAAACACTAATAGGAATAGTGAACATGCTTAAGAAGTTTTTCAGAAGAAACTTAAATAGGGCTTAGTAGAAAGAAAGTAAGGAAGCTTAAGAACTTAGCAGGAAAGTACAGTAGGAGAAACATGTTGGAACATAGTAGAAGAAAAATACAAGAACATAATAGAAAAGCATATGAGAACACAGTACGGAAAACATGGAGAAGAACATACAAGCATGGAGTATATAAAAAACAATTAAAAAAACATACAAGAACGGAGTAGATAAAAACATAGGAGCACAGTAGAGGCAAATACACAAAAGAAAAGGGAAAGAAAGTTAGAGAAACACTTAAACATTTTCAGAAAACCCTAAATCGTAAAAGAAAGACTTTGAAAAGTAATTTTCGAAAGAAAAGTTAGGGAGATCATTTGAAAACTCAAAGAGAGCACAGATACACAACGGATCTAAAGAGATCGGAGAAAACCTCGAGGGGTTAGGGTTTCAGAAGAACCCTAGAAATTAGAAAGGCTTTGAAAAGGTCACCGATCTGAGTCGGAGAGGTCAGAACCAGGCTCAAAACATCGTGGTACGCTGGAGCAAGGCCGACGATGACTCTAGAATCTTGAATCGGAAGAGGTCTGGGTGCAAACCTTCATGGTTAGGCCTCGAATCTTTAGGTATCAGGCGTGTAGGAGCAAGAGGAGGTGGGTATAAGACTTCCACAACCTGAGAAGCCATGGATCCCGGTGGGTTTCAAGGTAGAAGTGATGGGAGGCGGCTAGGGTTAGAGAAGGATCGAGAGTGTTTTGAGAGAAGGGAGGTTTCAGAGGCGGCTGGTTAGGTGAAATGATTTAGGGTTAAAGGGTGTTGGTGGATTAAAAAAGAAAAGGAGAGATTATGGCCATTGATCATTTTGATCAACGACCTTGATTTAATGGGGGGCCGGGCGGGTTGACCTTAATTGGATCAGGGGAGGGTAGTTTAGGAATTGGGTCGGTCCATCTAAAATTGAAATTGGGGTTAATTGGGGGGAGGGGGGGGTCGATTTGGGCTAAAATTTAAATAGGTAGGGCTAGTATTAAATATCCACTTTTTCCTTCTTTATTTTCATAAAAAATAGCAAAATGATTTCTGAAAATAAATTGAAAGTACTAAATTAATTAATAATACACAAATATTAAACTAAAAATACTGGGATCAATTTTGTAATTATAAACGCAATTAAATCTTAAAATAGGCTAAAATTGCAATTATATGCAATTTAATTTTACAATACTCAATAAATTTGTAAAAAATGTGCAAAAATTATATTAGCTATATTTTGGTATAAGTATAAGAATACAATAAAGGAGTTACCAAAAAACGATAATTTGGGAAATAATTATTTGTTTTTATTTATAAAATAAGGCGATAAATTGATTTAAAAATCTTTTAAAAATTAAAAAAATAATAAAACACTTGGACATACTTATATATGCATACATATGCTATTATGAAAGTATTTTTCATACGAAATATATATAGAAAAAAATTGGGTATCAACAACTGCAGCTTCACCTTAATTGCCTCTTTAACCTAATTCATTCCTTTCAATTCTCTGCTACATGTGTCGTCAGATTACGCTAACCCATATATTTCAAGTCTCCATCCTTTTCTCTATTGGTAAATATTTCTTTGCTCAAAACCTTTCTTTTTTTTTTTTTAATTTTTGGTTTTGTTCTTATACTTTAAGATTCAATTTTTCTAGTTTCTTACTAATGGAGATGAAAAATAATCTTTTATTATATACAATATCTGGGTATCTCGGTACAATATTTGTTTTATACTCAAAGTATTGAACTTTTTATAATTTTAGATTCTTGGGCTAAAAATAATAACTTTGTTTTGTTTAATTTTTGGATATGCTTCGTTAATTGGGGTTTTCGTTTACACTAATTTGGCTTCTGGGTAACTGTAGATTTATTGATATGTACTGTTTTGGACCTTTAATTGTCTGCCTACATTGTGTTATTTTTTGGGGTTAAATAGACTAATTTGGGTTCTGGGTAAGTGTATTTCGTTGGTTTTCTTGTGATTAACTGTTTGTGGGTTCTTTAAGATAGACTTTTTATTGATGGCATATTTTTTTCTTTAGATTTGTAGACATTTAAGAACTCTTTTAGACCTTTATTTTGTCTGCTTCATTTGTATTTTTCTATTAATTATTTGTGGGGTTTTAGTTTAGGCTTGAAATTCCAACTAAATTGTTCTCTGAAGCATTATGTCGAACACTCAATTCCTTAGAAGAAAACATACTGCCTTGCTTGTTGATGTCACTGGTAGTAGCTGGAATTATTTGTTGCAATAGTTTAGGATCACTTAGAGTTGATGAGTTCATATCAACACCCTCCTCATCTGCTAGGATTTCAAATCCGTTTGGACTGGCGATAGTTTAGCATAATAGTGCAACTAAGTAGTATGGGGGTTGGGTACAAATGGGGTGTGGAAGCTAAATGCAAGATGAAAGGGATTACCAATTACAACATATATAGCGCACATAATGCATGAAAGTCAAGAGATCTATCCTGTATTGAAAAAACAGTATAACCATATTTCAGCCTTGGTATAAAATTCAGGAACAATGAATTTAGGGAAAAAAGACTAACTAGATGATGAATAGGCACTGCAGTCAAAGTTCCAATCGGCCATTCTTGGTCTTTAATTCTCTGCGTTTGTCCGGAAGAAACTGCGACTGGTTGTGGACTTTGTTGCTTGACCAAAAGTCGTTCGAATCAAGGGAAGTATTAGCGATACTCTTTTCTGGGTTGATTGTGATGGCCCCTCAGGGGTTGCACTTCAGCAATTAGCCTTTGTTTGGTGTTTGAATATTTTTGTTTCTTAACTTCTTTACTCTTCTGAAACTTTTTTAAGTTTTTAGAATGTTGAAATAAAATGCTACCTAAACCTCCCAACTGGGATTTAAAGGACTGACTGTGTGCATTCCGTTTCATGCAATTTGAGAGTTTTTTTTGTTAACAAAAGTTTAGAGAAATATGGTGTTAGATAAGTGCTCATTGTTGTTTCTCAATAGAAGATGTATTACTTTATAAGAGATGCTTCACGACATTAAATTAGTGACAACTGAATGTATTATCACTGTGGTTAATCATAATTCGAAGAGTTTTCTATTACAAACAAATTTAAGTTTGATTAGAACTTTTAACTGATGATTCTTTTGACTGTGTGGAAATTGGGCGGAGGGGGTTGAGTTGGAGCATCACAATGTAACTCATGCTATTGTGTTACTCCTTAAAGTTCTGTATATTATGATTTTTTCCCCTTTTAATACATATCTTTTCCCTGTTGTGTCCAATAATACATGAGTTTTATTTATATTTTTATACATGGTTTGAGAATATCTTTGTGCAAACTAATTGATGAGATTCTGTATATTGAAGGCATATATGACTCTTAAACTTAAAGAGTGTGCTTGTGCAAAAACCTTATGAGTTTAAGCTTAGATAAGACGGGAAATTGGCTATTCAAGATCAATATTTACCTTTAAATTTTTTTCTCAATTTATATTGGGGGAAAATATATTTCAGGTTTTTTCCTTTGTACATAGATGCAAGCTTTTCCTATTTCTTCCTGTAGTTCTTTTAACTTTTTATGATATTGGCTGCCTATTTTTCAGTTCAATGTAGAATCACGTTCGCCTTTTATAAAGAAATACAATACTATTATTGATCCTGCTGAGGTACATCTTTCTTTGCCCTATCTTATATAGGATCCAAACTTGAATTTTTCCAAACTTAGGTTATATTGTCTAGAGTTTGTGTAACTTTTATATAATACAAACGGAGGAGCATCGCTGTTCAGTTAGTAGAAACTAAAATAACCTATAAGTAGATAACTTCATCTAACTGACTATGTTTCAGGAAGTTTAATATGGATAAAAACTCCATATAGCTTTGTTTGGCTAATTTGAATTAAACATGAGAAGTTAAAACTGAGGTCCTCTACTCTTCCTTTTCGTTTCAAGTCTGTTGAAGTATCTAATAAACTGGAACAACTGTGAGTGTTTATTAAGTGTTAATTCTTCTAATATTGAACCTTACTTTGTCGCACAACTTTGTTATAATGGAACTTCTTTTGGGTTACTTACTACAAACTAAATTATCTATAAAACTTATGAAGTTTCATACTTGCAATTAGAAGATTGGGTCCTATACTTAATAAAACATTTTAATCACAATACCTACACACACACACACACACACACACACATATNGAAAGTAAAAGATTTGCTACATTTGTATGCAACCTATCTGGGAGGAAGCAATGATAATAGAAGTATTTCAAAATTCTAATTTCAATGTCAAAGTAGAATCCTAATACTTAATAGAATGAGACTTAAGGAAAAAAGTGTATATCGTCCCAATGAGATACCTGAAGTTCAATTCTGTCAATTAATTGAGTATTGAGATGACGAAGATGTCCAAGTAAGATTAAACCGTGCATTTCTACATTTTCTACCTATTGTTGCAGTATATGTTTTTTTCTTTTTGATTTATTAATTAATATGCTTCTTTTATTGTTAGGCTATGTGCCAATTAAATTCTGAAAACAGGAAAAAAAAAGTGGAGGCATCGAATGGGACCTATTAATTTTGCAAGAGTGCGTGTGTCATTGGTAATATTTAGTCGACACTTTGTAATCTGACTTTCATTTCTTTTTGTACTTTGTCGGAACACAATGATATATTTTTTTATATCTTCTTTGGTGTAATTTGTAGGGTGCAACCAAAGAGAACAACGAGGAATTATCAAAGTCTGAAATGTTTATTACAACTCGTACAAAGAAAGGGAAGGAAGTTCATACAAATACTCATGTTGCAATAGTAAGTCATGCTTCAAGTTAAGTCTTGTTTGTATTTTCTCTCCTTAATGAATGTGTTTAAGAGAAGTTTAACAAGAAATTTAGCCAAGAACCAGTTTCTACACGTAATCTCTGCTTAGAATGTAAGAAGCTTCTGTTTTTTAGCAAGTTTTTAGGGCATTATGAAAGAAAGAACCCTTACTCTTTTTATATTAATTTGACCTGAGTATGTCAAGAAGATTTCATGTGATATAGTTGGAAACTTATTTTCCTAATTGTATTCTTTTGTATCTTTCACCTTTTCTTTTTTGGAGTTTGAATCGCATCCAAGTATCTCTTAAGAATGGACATTTGGATTTGGACATTCACGTGATTACCAGAACACTATTGCAGCATTTCATAAAAAGATGTAATGTGACTGTAGAAGTTACTATAAATGGTATATATTTAATGGCGGATGGTATTTAATTTCGACCAAGAAATTATTCCCAAAATCACACCCTAAAAAAAGAAGCCCAACGTTCATGAGTGAATTCATGAAGGCCTGAGTAATCAGTACTCTAAATATAGACTCTTGTCTAAGTGTTACATTATTCATGATGTTAGTGAATAAGATAAGTTATATGTCCAGGCCACATTGCTTAGTTGTCAAAGCCAATGATTCTAAGTGCATGTCAATGCGCCTTTGGTGAACTTCAACTGCAATAGCACCTAAAAGGAGTAGCATTGATGTTATTGAAAGATTGACACCCTTGAGAAGATATTAGCAACATTTTCTTGAAAATATTTGTTGCCTTTTAACAGAATGTTATTCCTTACATTTTTCCTACAAGTACTTAAAAAGAAAAATTGCACAGATGCATAAAGTTTCTGTCTCCTTGCATTTCTGGTTCATAGACATAATAACCTCCTTTATAAAATGTTACTCACACTTGCATTTAAAGAAGAAAACTAGCTTACCAATTATCTCATTTTTATACTCAGTTTACACCAGCAATATGTTGCGAAGTGATTAATTACAATACAATTAAGAATTTCACTGGTTCAGATCAGTTTGAAACTTTAGTTCAGTTCAGTTCAGTTTGAAACTTCTTGGCTAAATCTTAGCACCAGTTTCAAAGGAAAAAAATCAGTTCAGTTTGTTTGAAACTTCATATTAAAATGGCTACGATCCTTGTCGCTGAAAAATCTATTGAAATTCTTGGCTAAATTTTGAAGTCTGTTAAACTTTTCTTTAATCTAACTTGACTTGTTGAAACTTATTTTAGTGTTAGATTTATCTTGACTTGTAAGTGATGGGCAATAATATTTTTTTTGACAGTCTGAATTTCAGAATCGTCAAAGTTCCGGAGAAACAGCAGATGATGCATTTAGGGCTGTTGGAAAGGATCAGCCTGGTCGGGTTAGATGCTATGACAGATCGGTGACGACAAGCTCTCTTATAAAAGATGAAGAAATCACCAAGCTTAAACAACAATATGCCAACGAAATAACTTCGCTGAAGGAAGAAATGAAGGAAATGATGAGAGAAGAAATTCTATGATTTTTTAGTCAATTGGTGAAAAACAATACTGGACTGGATTTTTATGATATACAAGGGTGTGTTGGATCTAATATTCCTTCACCGGTTGATGCAAGTAGTGCACGAGCTATGAGAGGCCATAATCTACCACATTCTTCTGGCTCAACTCATGCCCCGAGTCTTGAAAAGGTACTTATATTTTACCAAGTAGTATAATGGTAGGGTTTTGACCGGATAGTATAATGAAGATAAAATATAAATAATATTTAAAAGTAGAGGGTATATTTGGCCCTTTTCTCTTCTTATTTAATTAAGTTATTGTTGCGATTACAGAGGGAGATAAGTAAAATGTATGTTAATTCAAATTTTTGCTTCTCTTTCACTTGTATATCTTTTTTGTGTTTGATATTGTTATGCTATAGTAGTGAAATAAAATCTCATTAACTCTTAGTAAGATATAACCAGTACATACTATATATTTGTTTCTTTCTAATTTTTAATTTCATTTTGAATGTGTAGGAAAATAGGGGTGGTGCAATTAGAAATGATGGCCACAAATCAATTTGATTCATTAAAGTGAATGGTGAACACCTTTTGAAAAATTGTGATGTTTATTTTTATTTTATATTGATACTATAAATATGAATACATTTGATATTGTAGAGGTCTTTGCTAGTGAACTTCTTGAACCAACAATACTTTGTTACTATAGATAGTACGCAAAGTATGTTTCTAATTTGTTGAAGTTTATACTCAAGTATATGCATTTGAATTATTTTTATTCTGTTACTTATTATCTAAATTTAATGCTTGAGATCATAATATATATATATATATATATATTGGAAATAAATGTGGACAGAATTTAATGTAAACATATATAATTTTTAACCACAAAATTGTGGCTAATATAAATATTTTAAAAATTACTTCGTAGTGTAGACAAAATTTCCACGCTTAGAAAGTGTGGCCATAAGATATATTAATCTGGTGTTGTTAATGATATATATTGCTCTAGAAGCCACATTTTAAAAGCGTAGTCTATAACATGACAAAGATCACGCTTCAAATGTGTAGCCTTATGTCATAAAAGCGTGGCTATATGAGAAAATATAAGCGTGACCTTTGTACTCTATATGCCACATTTTTAAAGTGTGGCTTCTAAGGCAACACCTACAAATTGTGGCCAATAGTCAAAGGTTACGGTACTTTTGGCCACCCCCAAAAAGCGTTGCCTAAAGCCATAAAGTGTTGCATTTGACCAAATGCTACGTTTCTTGGCATTTTTGGCCACAGTATTTTAGTAATTGATAAGTTTACCAAATAAGTTTACATTTTTTTTCTATTTTAACTCCAAAACTCAAACCTATAACCCACTTTGTTTTTTGTTTTTCCAAAACTTTTGTCGCAAACGTTAAAGGTATTTTGTGGCCTTCTGTTTTATTTTTTCTCCTAATTTGCTTTTAACTCAATTCTAATTAGCTGTGCTCCTTTGTTTTGCCTTCTTCTGTCTCACTCCTTTGTTCTGCTTTCTTAAGGTGTTTTGCCTCCTTGTGTTTTATTTTTTAAAATTATTTTTATAGCATAATTTTTGATAAATTTAATATTTAAACAATTGAGCGTATTATTGTAAACTTATCAGTCACTGTACAGTGCAATACAGTCAAACCAAACAGCAAAATATTATTTAACAATAACAAACAAGACAATCTATCTAAACATCGTAATCATAAAACAATAGTACAATACATACAATACGATACAATACAATACATTATAAAACAATGGGGAACAATGATCCAAACAGAGTGTTAGTGAAAGTGTGCGCTTTAAACACGCTTTCTTTCTAACAATAACCATCATCCATCTCCTCATTTCCGCCAAGCATCCTCCATTTTCACCCAAAAACCCCATATCGATCAAAAAATAATTACACTATTCCTAAAAAGAACTAGTAGCAGGACCGTGGGCGAAATTCGAAGTGAAAAACAGATTACAAAAAAAAAAAAAAAAAATTGTAGTTCAAGTAAATTTATTTTTGTCCGAGTTGAGTGTGTAGTAGTGAAATGTCTCAATTGGAGTTGAGTGCATAGTAGTGAAATGCCTAATTTAGTTAATAGTTCTTAAAGTAACAATTTGTTAGAAATAAAATATTTTCACTGGAAAAAATCTTGTATTTAGTTTAAATTAGTAGATTATAAATTGATATAGTAGTGATAAATTAGACAAGTGAAGAACACAAGATTTACTAAGAATAATTTGTAGTAATTGTGTTTGTTGCAGTCTAATAGCTAGTTTAGTTTGTAATTTTTTGTAGCTTTAATTTTCTTGAAGTATAAAATTATATAAGCTAAAAAAGTATTGCATTTAGTAAAATTAGTAGAGTATATATTGATTATTAATGTTAAATTTATTGATAGAGGAGTAAACACGCTTTTGTGAGAAATATTTGTGATTGTTGTGTTTGTTGAAGTGAAATAGATAGTTTAGTTAATAATTTTTGTAATACTAATTTTTAGAACTGAAGTTTTATTAACGGAAAAAAATATTACACTTAGTAAATTTAGTAGTGTATAAATTGATATAGTAGTAATGAATTTGATAGTAAAAATTATACGTTTCAGTGAGCATTATTTGTAAAATAAATACTTTGTATAAAATATATTCTATAATGAAAATAATTTATAGTGAAAAATATAAGCTTTAGTGAGAATTAATTGGACTGAAACTTCTTTTACTAGACCTGGAAAAAGACACATGTTCTGTCTTTAAATTATATTCCGGCGGTTTACTTTGCGTTTCACTTTAGAAAATAGTGTCATACAAAATTAAATTATATTTTTCATGTAATATATATTAAAATTGATCCAAACGAATACATAGTGATACAATATTATCGCTTATGTTACAACTAACCATGTTAAGAATGAGTTTAATCAACTCATAAGCTACCTAATGACAATTATCCGCATTTTATATATTTTTCTAATTTTTTGAATATTGTGTCATAAATGAACCCTAGTCTGATACTGAACTAGAACCTTAATAATACAGAATATAACTTACATAAACCCTAAGGTAGGTAATAATTTACGTGAAAAAATAAAATGGGAACTTTCTTAATCTTCATCACTGTCATGTACAACCATGTATTCTTTTTCGCCAGCAACTTCTTCATCGTCCTCTTCGTCCTGAGCTTCTTCCTCTGGTTCTAGACCCCAATTATCATATAGGTCATGAAGTTTTTGGATAAAGCTAAAATCACCATAGACATGGTCTCGCCAATAGTATGACACTCCATAGTCCAACGTTTGTGGTAAATATTTTGGAAGTCCTATCCATTCTTCAACTGTTGGATATACTGATATGTTTGATTGCTATGCAATTTTGTATATTCGAATACTGCCCAATGATTTTCTTCACTCCCCTATACCATGTTGAATTCCTCCAATGCATGAAAGCTGTCTAGTGCTGTTTACCCTTAAAAATGGATAACAATTGAATTTATACGCAGTTTTAAAGATATGTGGACTAATTCAATACAAATGATTAATGACGTTAGATAAGAAAACTAGGATGGAATAAACAGCCAAACCAGTGGTAATATTGAGCCGGGCTTGGTTATAAGCTTGACAAGTAGCCTGCCTTCGGTTCGGAGCCAACACTTATGAAGAACTTATGAGCAAAAGTATGAACTTTGAATCACTTTTAGAAACAGAGAAAACAGATGTATATTGCCTTGGTATGCATGTTATAGAGTGAGTATTGAATAATAAACTTTTCCTTTATATGGTAGGAGTGTAATAGAAATTATGGGGATGCCCTCCTACACTAAGACCATGCTCGAGGATACCCAAGCAGGAAAGGAGAAGTCCAATGAATAGACCTATGGTGCGAGCGATCCTTTTCATTCTTTATTTGATGGTGTGGACTCGTCCACTTTGGACGATTTTTCCTGGATGGGTAACCTGGATGTCTCGAAGAAGGATGCATCTTTGGAAGCTGGTGGGCCAAGTTCGAGCCCAAAGTTGATTAATAAATTTCCTACTCCGAGTGTGGACACCGGTTGCAAGAGATCGATTATTCTTACTATCCAAGAGGATGCTCGGGTTCTATCTACCCCCTTGGGTGTAGCCAACTACCTCCGATGTCTGCTGACCTAGGAGGACATGAAAAAATGAACTAGGTGAATGTGTCGTGCCTTTTCAATGAGGCGCAGCAGGCGCTGAACTGGGTAAGGCATCATTATGTCTTTTTGAATTTTACTTAGGCTTTGATGTCTCTCATGTCTTTCATTATTTTGCAGGACTTGGTATTTCATCATGAGAGCTTCTTCTGGTATCGGGTTGAGGTCAATCAACTCGAGCTTGAGCTCAAGGAGCAGGCTTAAAAAGGGATATGTACAAGCTCCTCAACGAGCAATAGAAGGGGCCATAAAGGACCTTCATGCCGAGCTAGATAGGGCTCAGAAGGAGGCTTCGACCCTGAGATGGAAACATGCTGATCTAGTCGAAAAGGTAAAGGTCTTTGAAGTTAGAAACGAGGAACTAGTTATGGCGACTAACAATCGAACCTTTCAGGTCTAGGAGACATCGACCTGATCACCCAACTCTAAGTTGAAATGAACGAGGTCCAAGCCATGGTTGATGGTTGGAAAAGTAGAATGGATCGGCTGGCTTTGAAGAAGGAAACTGCCCAAGCACAACTGGCATCGGTATAGGTTCAACTTTAGGTGGGGAAGAAGAAAGCCGACAAGCAATCCTAGCTGAATGAATAACTCCGAGCACAACTGAGCTCGGCCCTAGCAGAACGGGATACCCTCGATAAGGAATACAAAGAAGCAAAGTCCAAGTTGGACACAACCTCTGCCGATGCCGAAGAGATGGTTACCCTGTACAAGGCTGACGTTGAAGCAGTCGTGGCCTGCCTGAAGACTAATGCTGAATATATGAGGCGGCTGTCTCAGAGGGAGACCCTTGTAGAGATCCATGCCCGAGGCTTTGACTTGTCGGCCGAGATCGGGGAGGAAAAGAAGATTAAGGCTGAGGCAAAGAAACTTTCTTAGCCCGAGGGTGCAAAGGACTCCGAGGAATTCGAAGGCTCAAACGGTTCAGGCACCGAATCGGGCCCTAGTGAA